CTCTACCCTAGCAATCAAGAGCTAATTAAGCAGATAAAAAGAGAATATGCCTCTCAATAGTTGCTGCAGTTTTGGTTCCTTTCACTTCAACTTTCCCTTTAATGGGTAATTTCATTATTGCAATTTTATCAAAGGAAATGGATGCACATCATGTAATTATTTACAATGCTAAAAGAATAACTTGAAAAATTAAATGTAGTTGCATTTCAGGTAATTAAATATGATGAAGCTATGACTGTTTTAGTAAAGATAGTTGCATAGGGGTACCCTGGCTAAAGTCCTCACCTTGCAAGTGCCAGGATCCCATATGGGCACTGGTTCTAATCCCAGTGGCCCCGCTTGTGATCCAGCTTCCTGCTTGTTGCCTAGGGAAGCAATGGAGAATGACTCAAAGCCTTAGGACCTTGCATCCATGTGGGAGACCTGGAAGAAACTTCTGGCTCCTGGCTTCAGGTCGGCTCAGCTCTGGCCATTATGGCCACTTGGGGAGTGAATCAACAGACGGAAGGTCTTCCTCTCTGTATATCTGACTCTCCAATAAAAATAAATCTTTTAAAAAAAGATAGTTGCATGAAAATACACTTGTATTCATTTGTTGAAAGAAAATATATAGCAGCATTTTATAATAAATAGCATGTGTCTTATGTATACATAAAATATTAAGACTAATTGCTTCTGCTGTTAATATAATTCATCAAAAACATTAAAACAAGGACAGGTTATCTGATGTCCGTGTCCGAGGACAGCTAGCTGTAGCATGACGTTTACCTTCAATAGATAGAGACTGAGCAGCAGTAGTCCTGGTAAGAGCTAAGTAGGGAAAAAAACAAAACAAAACCAGAAAGATGTGTGTAGGTCTGTTTTGAGAAAAGTTCCAGAGGAACAACTAGTAGACTTTGGTGCCATATTAACTGTAAACTGTTAAGAAAATATGGACATGAAATATTATTTGAGCTCTCGTAGATGGATGTATCAGAGGGTAAAATTGCTTTTTTCCAAAATATGAAATTCAGAAGAAGGAAAATGTTTATAAAACATAAATAGCAGGGAAAGAAGGTAGAAGGATGAGAGTATATTGGATTTTAAATATATTGAGCAAGTCACCACGGTGAACAAGTTCAGTAGTAAGAGATGGCGTTCAGGAGGAAGATAGGGGTTAAATAAAAGTTGCAAATGAGTGTCCTCTAGAGTGTCTATGGAATTGCATGGGACAGGCACTTTATCACACCATTAAAAGAAGGGAAATTGAGACTTCTGCTTGGCTAGTAGAGAGAAAGCAAATTGAGACTTCTGCTTGGCTAGTAGAGAGAAAGCAGGTGCAGATGGCACAGATCAGAAAATTCAGTTGAGGTTTAAATTAAAACAAACTTGGTGTGATAGTTAATAGCAAAACACAAGGACATTTTTGTGTGCTCATTACAAGTAGAGCTAAGATCATTCTTCTCGTTACATTGATATTTTTAAAAGACTTACTTACTGGAAAGGCAGACTGACATACTGAGGGAGAAAAGGAAAAGAGCAGAAGGAAAAGAGAAAGCAAGAAAAAGATCGTCCACCTGCTGTTTCACTCCTCAAACAACTGCCACAGTCAGGGCTGGGCCAGGTTAAAGCTTGGGGCCAGAACTCTGTAGCTGGGTCTCCTGCATGTTGGCAGGATTTTCAGGTACCTGAGCCATTCATCTCTGTTTCCCATGTGCATTAGCAAGAAGTCATATCAGAAGTGGAACAATGAGGAACAATAAGCATCCCAAGTGGTAGCTTAACTCACTGTTCTAAAATATCTGTCCCCTCATTACACTGATGTACTCAAATGATTATTATTATTACTTTTTCAAGTTTACTCACTTGAATTATTTTTAAGGCAGAGAGAAAGAGAGATAAGAGATCCCTCATCCGCTGGTTCACTCACTAGGTTCCCACAATGGCTAGGGCTATGACAGAACAGGGAGAAGCCGGGAACACAATTCAGGCTTCCAATGTGAATGGCAGGGACCCAACTACTTGGACCATCACCTGCTGCCTTCCAGGGTACACATTTACAGGGACTGGAAGCTGAAGCAAAGCCAGGACTTGAAGCCGGAAATTGTATTTCCATTTGAAAAACAGAGCTACAGAGAGAAGGAAAGGGAGAGAGAGAGAGAGAATCTTTCATCTGCTGGTTCATTTCTCAAATGGCCACAATGTCCAGAGCTGTGCTGATTCAAAGCCAGGAGCCTCTTCTGGGTCTGCCACATGGGTTCAGGGACCCAGGGACTTCAGCCACCCTCTGCTGCCATCCCTGTCATAAGAAAGCTGAATCGTAAGTGGAGCAACTAGGACTAGAACCAGTGACCATATTGGATGCAGGCTCTCAGGTGGAGGCTTAGCTTACTTTCCTACAGTACGTTCCCCTCCCAAGCAATATTTTAACTACTCTGTCAAATGCTGACCCCTAAAGATCAAATTCCTCAAATTGTAGTCCATGACTAAATACAGATTTCAGGAGGAATAAATCAACTTTTAAAAAGTCGAATGACAAAAAAGAAACACTTATTATTCACAGGGAATGTTCTGTATGGGCTTCATCAAGTAAAAAAATCATTGCTACAGTGTTCAATATGACATTTCAGAATAATTACAAGCATATTACACAAAGAAACATAAAAAACACTGAACTTTTATAATCACAATCCCCCTTCGTAATAGGCTCAGCATTTGTAAATTTAAGGTATGCTTTTCTCATGATCATTTGCCACTCAGAGCCATCACTGCTGGATGGGATCACATGGTAACCTAATAAAACACATCAGTTGAACATATGAGAAGTATTTCAAAATATTCACATAAAAGAAAATTTAAGTTTTTAATTGGTAAGTAAGTTGTCGATATGATGGACTAACAAAGGGTCAAAGTATGTGATGTTTAAAGAGGGAAGTATAAGGAGACAGAAGAAAAAAATGCAGAAGCAGACTTGGGTTAATTCCATAATTATGTAATCATGGAATCTCTTCAGAATGCTTATACATAAGCAGGTTAGTATCATAAATTTTTTCTGCTGTGTGATAATTAAAATATACTGCAGGGGCCAGCACAGAGGCGGGGCGGGCTGGTCTAACACCTGTATGCCAGCATCTTAAATGGGTTAGTGTCCCACTCCAGGGAAAGCAACAGAGGACAGATCAAGTCCTTGGGTCCCTGCACTGATATGAGAAACCAAGAAGAAGCTTCTGACACCCACATGTGGGTAGGTCAAGCTCCGGCCATTGTGGCCATTTAGGGAGTGAGTCAGGGGATGGAAGATTTCTGTTCCTGCCCATCCCTTTCTGTCTGTAATTCTGACTTTGAAGTAAAATAAATAAAACTTCAAAAAATATGTATGTATATAGTGTAAAAAATGTATACGGAGGAAATGGACATCTTTTTATTTGATTGTTGGTTTTAGGCCGTGTCTGTATTTTTGTAGAGCATTGGTCTTTCTGCTCTTTTCTTCTTGTACATCATGGTTGGTAGTGCATTAAGCCTGTGATTATAAAGTAAATTGAAAGTACATTATTGCAAAAAGTTAAAGGACAAAAAAAGAAAGGAAGGAGAGGGTATTAGTGGAGGGAAAGTATGGTTATCTTCTCAGAATTTTATCTATGAAATCTGTTTTCTTTCTTTAAAATTTTTTTAATTGAAAAGCAGAAAAGAGAAGTTACCAATATAATGTTAAATTTGCAAATAATTTTGTGATATACGAGTTTTACTTCAAACAAGTATAGAACCCTTTGCTGATCATGTCCTGGGCAGAAACTGTCTTATCTCTAGGAAGACTCAATCTCCAGACCTGGTGCTGTGGAATCTGGTTTATTCCCCCAGGTGTCTGCTGTTACCCAGTTTGCCCCTCATCTCACTACCCTCCTCCCTATTTACACTCAGGAACCCAGCTGTGTTGTAACCAAGAGTTTGTGGCGGGCTTCCAGTGGTTCACAAACCGCATTTTGTTTCCATTTATGTCTTAGTCTTCTTAGAATTTTGTTTTTACAGCAAAGCAACTAAAAATGGCACTGACAGTTATTCTCAATTAAACATGTTTTTTTTTTTTTTACAGAAAGTACAATGGGAAATAGACTTACAGTCCAGTAACTCCGGTGTCAGCCAAATTACTAATACTTCCAGATGCTCTCAGATTAAGGCAGTTACACAAAGGAGCTGCCCATGGCAACCTCTAGGTTCTTATTCTTACATTACAACTGCACCCAAAATGTAGAAAGTAGGAAGATCAGACTTCAGAAGATCATATAGAACAAAATATGTTATTGCAGGCATTTTTGAAAAATATCACATTCCTCAAGGCAAAATTAATCCTTTTCTCTATTACTCTCTTTTTCTCTCTCTCCCTCTTGCATGTTCCCTTTCTTTTACACTTATTTTCACTTTAGGGCCAAGAGTTATTTTGCAGGGAGTACTAAAATTTATATGCACACAGAACACTGGATGTTGGGCCAGCACAGTGCTTGTTGTAGCAGGCTAATTCTCCACCTGCAGTGCTGGCATCCCGTGTGGGCACCAGTTTGTTTCCTGAATGCTCCACTGTCAAGCCAGCTCCCCCACTTGTGACCTGGGAAAAGCAATGAAGGATGGCTCAAGGTTTTGGGTTCATGCACCCACTTGGGAGAGCTGGAAGAAGCTCTTAGCTTCCAGCTTAGAGCAGGCCTACCTCTGGCCATCACAGCCACTTGGGGAATGGACCAGCAGATGAAAGAAAGCCAACTTTTTGACCAGAATAGCAGTTATAAGGATGAGAATGCTATAAAGTTCTCCTTTCAAATTATTCTGTTAGCTATATGCATGGTTTGTGTTTTTTCTAAAACTATACCATTTAATCTTGAATTAATCTTACTATTTTTGCAACCAGTTCTAACAATGACTGATTAATGTGATAAAGTTAGTAAATATAGCTATGTATATTCTTGTTGCCACTAAACTTCCCTATATTGTAGACTCAGATAAAGACATGAAAAAATTGTTTTGGTTCCTAGGTTGGATCATTAAATGCATGCTTCCTTGCAAAGAGAAATTTCCAGGTTGATGTTTATGAAGCTAGGGAAGGTAAGTCTGTAGTGACATGGAGACATGCTTTTGATGCTTGGACCTCTATTTATGTATAATATTTTTTAATAAGGAAGGGCTTTTTAATAAACAAAAAATGTAAGAACTGCTAAATTTAATTTAATTCAGATTTATTAGTATTACCTATTAGAAAAATTTTAAAACTTATTTGTATAAAGTGAACAATTTTTATGTACTTCACAATGCAGATTTAGGGGCTATGATCTATTTTTAAGAAATGGTAACACAATCTTCTATTTTGGTTCTGAATGCACCAATTGTTCAGGTGTGATATTACTATGTTTGTCTTATACTGGGGTATAGAGCTGTGTGTAACATGTCTACTGTCAATGTTTCAGATATTCGAGTGGCTAAATTTGCACGTGGAAGAAGCATTAACTTGGCCCTTTCTTACAGAGGGCGACAAGCCTTGAAAGCCATTGGCCTGGAAGATCAGGTATTCTGTTGATACATTTTCTTCATGCAAAACAATATCTGAAGGTTTTCAATAGTTATATTGTCTGTATTTCTACTTGGTTTGATGCTATTTACCACCAAACCCCTCTGCATTAAAAAAACTCATTCTACAAAGGTTTTTGAAGTTTGTTCAACATTTGATACATGAAGCATTTGGGAGCTGGGGCAACCCAAGCACAGAAGATGCTGCAGTCTCCTCGGATGACCACTTTGCCTCTGAGTTCTCACTGGGTGACAGGTCTCTGGCTACAGACAGTGATTGTTGGCATGCCAGGACAAGAGGGAACACATAGACTCCATTTTGATTATTTATTTACAGAGGTCCATAAACTCTTATCTACAATTCTGTGTTCCCCCAAAGCCTTGAAAATATAGAGCTTTCCATCCCCCGATTGGCAGTAAAATTTCACCTGATGTGAGACTTTTCATGTCCCCCACCACCTCAGACTTAGCATGAATTTGTTTTGCTGTAGAAATGCTTTGCTTAGTTACGGAGTAATTCTCCAGATGTACTGAGTGTCATATGATATGTAGTATACATATAAATACTGCTTCTAAGTTATAGTTAAAATCTGATAGCTGAAGCCATCAAGCTCTACAGGTTTGGATAAAATGCTGTAGGCTTAATGGATTTTTCCTCACGTGGGCTAACTGTTGTGAAACTCTTCACTATTTATTGTATGTGCATTCCTCCATTCTTATTACAAATAGGAGCAGTCATGGGCAAAAAAAAAAAAATGTGGTGCTGGTATTATGGCAAAGTGGATAAAGCCGTTGCCTATAAGGCTGGCATTCCATATTGGATGCTGGTTCAAGTGCCACCTGCTCTGCTTTTGGCCTAGTTTCCTGCTAGTAGGAAGGTAGTGGAAGATGGCCCAAATATTTGGACCCTGAACCCAATCAGAAGACCCAGATAAAGCTCTTGGCTCCTGGCTTCAGCATGGCTCAGCCCTGGCCATTTAGGGAGTGAACCAGTGGGTGGGAAATTCTCTCTCTCTCTCTTTCTCTCTCTCTCTCTCTCTTTCTCTCTCTCTCTCTCTCCTACCCTAGACCCCCTGCACCGTGTAACTCTTTCAAATAAATAAATCAATCTTAAAAAATAAAACACTTAGCACTAGATTTTAGCAGCCTTAGGTTTTATTCTTCATGATGCCACTTTACTATCATGAGAAAAATTGATCTCTTGAGCAATAAACCATTTTATTTAATGTGTAATATTTCATTTAGAGCAAATAAACTTTAAATCCAAAATGCAAAAACATTGTGATGGCCTTTTGGGATTTCTAAATGTTTTGGGAAACTATTTGCAAAACTTATTCTAGTATCAGTATTTATATTTATATGATGTTATGTTATAGCAATTGAAGTCAACATCTCTGATTTTCTTTCAGATTGTATCCCAAGGTGTTCCCATGAGAGCAAGAATGATTCACTCTCTTTCTGGAAAAAAATCTGCAATTCCCTATGGGACAAAGTCACAGGTAGATCTACTCTGGAGATGGTTGGTTGTGGATGGATTATAACTGAGCCTAATGCTGATAATGTGCTGCTTATCTGTCTAGTTAAGTACCTCCTTCTGTCTAGCTATGTTTCTGACATTGTCTGCTTCGTGCTAGACCCCAGGAACATTTACACTATGTAGCAAGTTAATTCGTAAGAGGTACTCAAAATAGGGCCAGGACAGTCAGGAAAAACTGGCTGTTATTCCCCCCTAATGGGCCATTTCTTGCCTCTATGTTTTGCTCTTGCTGCCCGGTGGCTTGAGATATCCTTTCCCTTTATCTCCTCTTCAATGAGATCAAAAAAGGTCAAGCAGGTTATTTGTTGTCAAGTGTAATGTACAAACACAACACTACAGGGTTTGAGATGTTATTAGCTTCCTACAACCCATGTTGCTCCAAATTTACTTATAGTTTATAGAATCATTTTGAAATGATTTCACAATTTTATGATTGCTAACATAGCAAATGCTAAATGATGAGGTAGAGTTTATGAACAAAAATTATACTGCTTTGTAGTTTCTTATCTTTCACATAAGCAATGTTCAGAGCTGGGTAAAACGTGTGTTTTTATCTAATTAAACCTTCTGAGTTTGTTTCCTTGAGGGAGAATGAATGTGTCAAGCATCCATTACTAAGAAAAATACTCCTACTGGTCTTCTCTGTATCCAACAGTGCCTCATGTTGTTTAGAACAAAGCCCAGTGAGGTTCCTGTACTCCCGGGTTCCCACCCTGGGTAGATCAACAGTATTTCTCAGACTCCCTGGAAACCTGCTAAAATGCAGTCTGCTTCTGCAGGGCTGGGGTACAGACTGAGCTTTTACATTTCTAACAAAGTCCCACGTGGTTTCTAGGCTGCTGGTCTTAGGACCAAACACTTTGGAAAGCAAGAAATGAAATGTATGTGTTTGTGGGTGCAAGCTCCTTGTTGATCTTGGGGTGATAAATGGGACTGAAATGTAAGGCATTCCAATAAGTAAGGGCTTTGGGGGTGGGGATAGGATCAAAATGTTCTTTTCAATGACTTTTAAAAAATAGTAACAATGCTAAATCAGCTCACAACAGACAGGGCCAAGAGACAGGAGTTGAAAGAATGCTCAAAGGCACAGCAGCCACAAGCAACCCAACACAAACACACTGTGTAAGTTATTACATATTGTGCAATTACCATTGAATAACAGACTCACACATCAAGTAAACATAGCGTCTCGTTTGGGTTTTTTGAGTCCTCTGATGTCCAAGAACGTAGTGACCCAGGAATACTCTGAGAACAACTTTTCACATCTAAGGCGAACACACACAACTGCTGCAGGTGCACCTGCAAGTTGGCACTCACATAACTCTAACAGAGCAGCCTATTCATTAAGTCTTAATGCTCTGAAAGCAACAGACAGCAGCCCAATACCAGAGATAGACTATGATTTTTGAAACTCAACAAGTAACTTCCTTATGTTAGCGTTATGGATGCTAAACTGCTTACAGATGCCATTCTTTCTGAGAGAAACTTCAGGTTACTGAATTGGCCCAGTTTAAGGTAGGTGCTTCAAAATAGACAAAAGACAAAAGAATTGTCTCCCCTTAAAAGGCAAGTAATATTTGCACATTCAAGTAAGATACAATCTGTGAATACAAAATATTTCACTCAAAGCTCCTGAGCTCACACAGTTTGCAAACTGGTCTGGACAGTAGGGATCTAGTTCATTGTGGAAAACTCTGTCAATCTCAGGAGAGATCAGCTAAAAAATACTGACTCAGGAAAGGAAGAATTTAGTTCAGAGGAGACTTCACAGAGGAATTGAGATTTCAGGCAGCCAATTGGTTTAAATCTTGACAGTGAAGTAGAATTGTCCTAATCAATCTGTGAAGCAGAACCTTTATCCCTAATGCCTTAGATGCAGACCTTATCATGACTCAGTAACTTTTCCTTAACTTGCAGTTCCTCTAGTAAAGATCAATGCATGAAGTTGAGAGAGTGATGTAAGGTAGTGCCACAGCCCAGATCCTAAATCATAAGGATTCAAATTGCTCCCCTAGTTAACTTCTCAGTGTTAATCTCTATTCTGACAGCTTGGCAAAAACTCATGGGCAGAGAGCAAATTAATACCCAGTCTTCTCTCAGATCCAGGAGATGGGTAACTAACTTTGCCATTGCCAAGAAAACATGCTGGCCTCCTCAATGACCAATATCAAAGGAAGGCCACGTGCACTGTGGACCAACCAGCAGCACACACAAGAGCTGTATGCTGCTCATCCCCAAATTTGAACCACAAGATTCTACTGCCTGTAACCCCTCTGGAAGTTGAGGAATTGAGTTCTAGAGGCCAGACTCCCTGCTCTGCACTTTGCAATCAATACCAACCCAGTGTCAGGGACTGGCTAGTTGCATTTTGGGCAAACAGACAAAAATTTTTTTAAAGATCTATTTTATTTTTATTGGAAAGACGGATACACAGAGAGGAGAGATAGAGAGGAAGATCTTCAGTCCGATGATTCACTCCCCAAGTGCTATGCCGATCTGAAGCCAGGAGCCACTTCCAGGTCTCCCACGCAGGTGCAGGGTCCCAAAGCTTTGGGCCGTCCTCAACTGCTTTCCCAGGCCACAGGCAGGGAGCTGGATGGGAAGCGGGGCTGCCAGAATTAGAACCAGCGCCCATATGGGATCCCGGGAGTGCAAGGCGAGGACCTTAACCACTGCGCCATCGCGCCGGGCCCAAACAGACCAAATTTTGAGAGTTCTGTAGCAATTCTTCCAATCAGTTTTGGACTGTTCTGAATTTGGGGATCCAGATATGGAAGGAAGTAGGGGAACATCAAATTTCTAAGAAGTTTATGTGCTGAGTCTGTGTTACTGGAAAAGGATGCATAAAGACACCTGAGCATCACAGCAAACATGAATCACTATTCCAACTGTCTTAACAGGAAACAGGCTGCATGACTCAAATGAGAGTAATATTCAGGAAGAAATAAAGCAGAAAGTATGTTTCTCATAGGGAAGTTGCCTGCCAAGCACGCTACAGGAAGCCTGGGCAGTACTGTTTGGTTACCTTTATATCTTTGTTTAAATAGACAGAGACTCGAAGTGATCAGAATCACAGTAATGGTAGCCATTACCATTCTCTTGTATCAACATGGGATTGCTGGAGAAGGTCAGATATGGAGCCGATAAGCAAAAAGCAAAGTATGACTCCATATCAGAAAAGCCAGAAAAGGGGAATGAGGGATTCTGCACTGCATTCTGTCTGTCTGCCTGTCCGTCTGTGTGTGTGAGATTTTCATGAGTACTAATAGGAGTACCCACTCTGAGTCCTTTCAATACGTTTTAAGAAAAAGGAAATTATACTTTCCACATTGTTACTGCTGTGTCTCAATTCTTAACAATCAAGTTAATGCTAAACATACCCCTAAATTCTAGCTTTTGCATCCTGAATTGCTCTTGTCAGTCAAACATGGAGTCCTTCCAGTTCCACAGCTTATGGAGGTTCAAAGTCATCTCAGAAACAACATGCAAAAGATGCATGCACTTTCTGAAGACTTTCAGTTGATAAAACAGTCACTTAGTGAGGTACACAAACAATTCAGAATCTCTGACGTGTAACACTTGACCTCCCAAATCCTTTCTGAGCCCTCCTTTGATCTCATCCTTCGTCAGTTGGTTCCCTAGCCCGTTCTCCTGTGTGATTTCCAGGTCCTTCCTGTCTTGCTGGCTGCTTCCAGGGTCCCCTTCAAGTTGTCCTGGAAACTGTTAAAAATCTCCTCCAACATACATAGCATGTCAGGGCTCGACAGCTGGGACTCCCAGCCACCTGTCCTCCAAATAGAGAAGCCGCATTCCTACCAGGAGGAAGCATTCTCCACGAAAGGCATTGGAGATAAACATTTTTTCCTAGGATAGTGTAAAAAGGCCCTCACACTATTGTTCAAGAAATCTCTGAAGGAGATTGACCTATTTTACAATTCACTTTTTCTGTCTTTCAGATTGTAAAAGACATTTTATAATCTTTAACTTGATGAGTGACTTGATGGGAGTGACTGTCGGTTAGGGTCTCATTTGATCCACAACTCTGTAGCAGACTGAACAGGGACAACCTAGTATTCCCTTACAGGGCTGATTTGTCAATGGTTCCCAGAAGATGCATACATCAGCCAGGTCTGATAATTGACATTCCTGCTTAAACAAATCTTCATAAGGTGAACATGTGCTAACATGCTTTGGATAAGAAGTTTAATTTACATTAAATGCAGCAATTAATTACAGGGAAGACCAAAAAACAGTGAGACACAGAACCAAAAAACACCTCCTCATTCATTCTAACTTATAGCAGACAGGAAGCTCCTCCTTAGTCATTGCCACTGTGGTCTGATTGAATTATTTTTACACTAAGACGTTATTTAGCTACTATTATAATACTTCCACTGTTGAATGAAGTGACATTTCAAACATTGATATGTCTAAGTTAAAATATGGTGAGGTCCATAATTTGGAAAATTACATGTTTTAACTAAGTAAATTAATAGGTTCACCATAACTTACAAGACTATAGTATGATTATCCTACACACTTACACCCCTATGGGTCCTTCTATAAAATAACAAATATTAATAATTATATTATTTTATTGGTAGAAAGACAATCACTTATTATTTATGGATTTATTATTATTATTATACAGTGCCTATTAGTATTATAGTTACATTTTTCCTTTCTGTTTTTAAATAAAGAAAAAAAATTTTTAACTGTGAGCAACAAAAACTTGACTAGTTTGATTGATGGTCATCATGAATTACCCAATAAAGTCAGAAGGAATGAGCACGTATCCCAGCAAGGCTTGTCCTGCTTGTGACTATACCCAGCCCCACCACAGCCAACACACACACACACACACACACACACACACACACACACACACACACTCACACACACACTCACACACACACTTGTGCGCACACACACTCACACACACACACATACACACACACACATACTCACGCACACACACACGCACTCACACACACACACACATTTCTCTTTACTGAAGGGCTTCCAAGTAGCTTCTTTGTGAGACTAACACATTTATCCTAGTGATGGTGTCATTAGTGAAATTTTTGCAACAGCTTAATTTACAGACCTAAGATGAAAAATGACTTAAAATTAAGACAACTATTTAGATGCAAGAGAAAAGTTTGATTTTATGGTATCAAACTTGAAAAAAACAGAACTTAGGAATTTCATTATATGTATTTTGCTAAAGTATTTCTTCCTGAAAAAAAGCCTTTTAGTAAAATGGTTAAAACCTAAGCTTACAATCTTCTGCTAAATAGTTAACCATTTTTTATTACAAAGTAACTTAGAATTATAATTGTCTATAATCCAAAAACACTGTTTACTCAATTTTTCTTGCAGTACATTCTCTCTATAAGCAGAGAAAATTTAAACAAGGATCTACTGAATGGTAAGTACAAGATTTTATTTACCAGTAAAGTATATCAAACTAATCGTGTCACATAAGTTACTGGGATTCTCTCACTAACTCTTTAGTTTATACAGAGGACTATGTATATTACAAAGTCCTTCCTTTAAAAATTATTTATTAATTTATTAACTTGAAAGGCAGAGAAAGAGAGAAAGAGACAGGACTGCCTCCATTCACTGGTTCATGCCCCAAATGCCTGACACAGTAAGATTGTGCCAGACCAAAAGGCTGGAATCCAGATCTCAACCCAGCTCTCCCACATGGATGGCAGAGAGCCAAGTACTTGGGTCATCACCTGCTGTTTTTCCAGTGGACGTAGGCGGAAAGCTAGATGGGGCATGGATCCTAACTGGAACCCGGGCACCACAACATCAGATGTGGGCATCAGATGAGGTATCTCAGCTGCCCCACCTGTCCCACAAAGTCCTTCTTAAAGAGTGGTCATACAGCCCCCAGCATTTTTTCTTCATCTTAACAATTTTCTACATAGAAATTTCTAGTCTAATATGACTACATTCACATTATGCCCTTGGCATTGCCATGAATATGTGTTTATTCTCTCAAGAAACCAATAAAACAGGTAAACTCAAGTAATTTGCCAAGTTAAATGGATAGATCTGCATTTTATATACATGAAAAACACTAGTGTGGAGGTTGATGGCTACAATCTTTAGGGCATTAACTTAATTTCTGTTTGCAAAGAGAAGCCCAGGATTAAATCTATGATAGTTGCAGCCAAGAGTTTGGAGTCAACTTGATAGGAAATCCAGAGGTTAAAGAGAGAAAAGTGTGAAGTATAACCTTAACATTCTTCATCTGAGTAACTGAAAGATGTATGCATTAATGGAAAAGCCATTAGATTATAAAATAACTTGTTGTTTGGATAGTCAATCCAATCACATCTCATGCAGCCATTACTAAATTTAAGCCTAGCTCATAAAAGTGCCGGCTTTTATACTGAATGGATTCCAGGGCTGAACTAGACCAAAGACAAGAGCCAGGAGCTTCATACAGGTCTCCTGGGTGGGTGCGAGGGCCCAAGCAGTAAGGCTATCCTCTGGTATTTTGTCAGGCACATTAGCAGGCACATTCTGATCTCAGGATCAGATTTGGAACAGCTGAGACTTGAACTAGTACATGTATGGGATGCCCACACTGCAAGCAGTGCCAGCAGGCAAGAGTGGGGGCAAGAAAGATCAGTAACTTTTGACCCTTGAACAGATGAATTTCTGCATGACTTGACTTTGTGTCTCTACAGTATCCTCACAAAGGAAATTTACAATGTCAAGTTGAACAGAATTGAGTCAAACAAATAGGATTGAGTGGAGGGAAAAGAGCATAATTTCATTCTAGGTGATTCACTGAGGTCTCTGAGCTAGACCTTAATATTCCTTTTAATTCCATTTCTTTTTTCACCATTTATTTTATTTTTATTGGAAAGTCTGTTGATTTACTCCCCAAGTGGCTGCAATGACTGGAGCTGCACCGATCTGAAGCCAGGAGTCCAGGGCATCTTCTGGGTCTCCCATGTGGGTCCCAAGGCTTTGGGCCATCCTCTCCTGCTTTTCCAGGCCTCAAGCATGGAGTTGCATGGGAAGTGGGGCTGCTGGGACACAAACCAGAGCCAATATATGATCCTGGCATGTGTAAGGCGAGGACTTTAGCTGCTAGGCTACCGCGCCAGTCCCTTAATTCCACTTTTTAGTTACATTTAGTAGACTGTATTTTGGACAAGTTGATGGGTGGGTTGGAGCCAGTTTGTTAAAGATATTCACACTGATCTTAAGAAAGCCAATGAATCAGAAAACAGCTTTTTAAAAAACAATATAGCATATCTAAGGCAACTTACTTATGGTATACTCTAAATTTATTAAGATAAAATTAATCATAAGACTTATTTTTAAATATTGAAGCACCAGCTATTACATTTAAATGTTTTATTATATGAATATAAATAACTACCAGTGATGACATGTAAGGAGAACTTAGGTTAATAAACTCTCAGATTGATAAGTCTACCACTGTTAATAAGTGGCAGACTGTAAATTTGAATGTGGGTCTGTTTATTCCAAGATCCAAGATTTTAACTACTGCAGTTTCTTCTTCAATATTATCTATAGGATATCTGCTGGGAAGAATAAAGCCTTAATGTATAAAACCAAAGGTCATTAACTTTTATTAAGAATGTGCTGCACATTATATAATTTCATAAATGCTATAAATGTGTCAGTAAAATGAGCACTGAATCTCTTCTAAATTTCATTTGGCAAAAGGAGTTCTTTGTTTTTTACAAGCCATCAAATCTATGACCCATTCATTCTACACATTTAACCAATTATAAATGTTCATTTCTCTCCGAACAGTCCGTCTTCTGAACACTAGATCCTCTCCCTGTAATAGTACAACTATTTCATGGGTCACTCTGTTATGGGATGTTCATATTTGCCACACAAAACAAAATAGAAAAACAATGTATATTTCAACAAATTTGACAAATCCTGAATTTAAAAAAAAAAGTTTTAAGAATTGAGAGTTGTGGTCCAGCAGGTGAAGCTGCCACCTGGGACAGTCGCTTGCCTGTCAAAGTGCCTGGTTCAAGCCTGGCAACTCTGTTTTCCAATCCAGCATCCAATGAATGCACCCAGGAAGCCATGAGTGATGCCATCCACATGGGAGACCTGAATTGAGTTTTTAATTCCCTGGATATAGTCCAGTCATTGAAGGCATATCTGTAGTGAATCAGCACATGAGCGTACTCTTTCTCCTTTTCTTTCAAAATTTTATAATTTTTAAAGTGAAATTGACTTCAATAGGACATGTTAACCAAAGGTATCCAAAATAATGTTATTTTAGTGTATAACCAAGTTATTCATGGAATATTTTCATTGGTTTGCTTTTGATTTTGCTTATGCAACTGTGCACAGCATACTTCAGTAGAGATCAGGTCACATTTCAAGCACTCAGCAGTTCATGTTCCTGGTCCAACACAGCCCGAGGTCAAAAAAGTAGAAAAGTCAGCATTTCCTAAGCCGTCTTTCACCACGGTACAAGGTTTGAAAGGAATCTATGCCAAAAGCAATGTTCTGGTGGAAATTCTTTGGGATATAGCACTATATATTTAAAGGAAAAATAGAATATAAGGTTCAAATTACATTTCACATAAAATGCTTGTGAAAGATATCCTTAGCACGTCAGGCAAACTGATTTCTCCAAATTTATTTGCCAAAAGGCTTCTTACAAGTAGATACCCTTCTTTGGTTTTGGATTTTCAGATTTCAATATTCCAAATGTCAGTCCCGTGTCGGAGACTCTCAAATTCCTCCACCCCCAGACCAGCCAGAGAATACAGAGCCAAAGAGAAACCAGAGGTGCAAAGCAAAGAGAAGTACAGATATTAATATTAAACTGGAAATTAGGAGCCCTACTTTTGCCCCCCCCACTTTTTTTCAAAGTCAACAGTTTTCTATCAATCACTTTGAATTACAAAAGTTGTACATAATTTATGTGCACTAGGAGTTTGTCTCTTTATATATATACATGTATGTACCTATATATACACATACACATGTACAGGCACACATATATAGCTCTGTATGGTCCCAGAGACCTTCTGTTCCCTTCCAGGGTCTTGATTACTCTATGATGTAAAGAGGAATTTTGAACCTAATTGTGTCTGAGGTCTACCCCAGTGCTTATAGTTGTATTCCATTTTGCATCTTTGAGAACAATGAGTATGCTATAACTATAGATTTTTTTTGTTCAAGAGCATCAGTATAAATAAAATTATTTTATGACTGTCACAGTATGTGATTAATAGTTCAGAAAGTGAAATTCACCATTTTACAGGTTACTTCCAGCAAAAAAATAGACATTGAAACCATTTGGTGGCATATATCGATAAATTTCCAACTTCTTACTCATTTTCTCTGGTGTTTGCTCCCAAGAATGCTTAAGTATCAATAATCTATACTTGTGGCAACTTGAATCTAAAGTCCAGAGTGTTTGCTAAAAAGGGATATGTAGATACACGTAATAGAATAGGAGGAGTTTGACTGAATTTTTCTAATCACAAAGTGTTAGTGACAACTACTGTGATACATGCTGTTTGATTCCTTCCAAGGGTGGAAACAGTTTCGGTGGTGGGATTGGCATGCTGAAATTGGCTTCATTTTTAAGAAATTATTACAGCTAATTTGTATCCATCTTTCCTTACTACAAAAGTATACTAACACATCTACCAAGCAGCTGTCAAATACTGGTTCTTTTGGCTTTGTTAAGAGCAAATACATCACACTGTTCCACAGAAAGTTACCCTTTCAATTTGGTTAAGCAACATAAGAATTAAAAAGTTTCTTTTCTGTTTGTTCTCTTTCTTCTTTCCTCAGCTGTTGAGAAATACTCCAATGCCAAGGTGCACTTTGGTCACAGGCTGTTGAAATGTAATCCTGAGGAAGGAAAACTCACAGTGCTTGGGTAAACAGGGGCTCAGGATTTATTTCAGAGGTGAAAGTGCAGAGGGCGAGAACTGCGTGTTAACTTTGTTTTTTTTTTTTTTCTCTCTTTGGAAAGGATAAAATAATAACTGAGATTGCAGTTCAAAGTGTTTCTAGTTTCGGGGAATTTTAGGTTGAAGTAAATCACAGAGATCTTTTGAGTACCGGAGACAGTGATTTTGCTTAATTTTTGTGTTCAGTCCCCTGTAGCAGTATTCCACAGAGATGGCCTCACCACTCTGCTTCAGAGTCTCCTCCCACGAACTAGGTAGCCATCCATGGCCTTTCTTCTCTTGTCCTTTTCCCAGTGCTATTTCTTTGCCTCTCCTTGGCTTATTCCATTTCCATTCAAGTTCTAAGACCTATATCCCATTCTTAGGATATGTCATGGATTCAGTTATGGATTCAACAATCACTTGTTATTCACATTTCTAGGGTAAAAATCTAGTTCACATGCCTGTCTTCATTCCCAATCCTCTGCATCCTACTCAGTTAATGTTAATCTTTCATGAAACATCTTCGCAGATCTCAAACACATCCAAAGAAAGCTTTGCTCAACTATTTGTCTCAAAATATGTTCCATTCCTGACTGTCCAGATAGACCCATTTACAATGTGCCCTACTTCTGATTTTCTCCCACTGCATTTAAAAGCACTCTCACCTTCACGTGTCCATGCTTGCTTCGGAATCTGTCTTCCTTCCCGCTGTATGATGGTCGTCCGAGGCTCTTTTCCCCCGCCCGTGGAGGCCTTTGCTATTCCTCCTTCCTGTTATACCTCCTTCTCCATTCTGCTTCCACTTCAGAAGGATTTTTCTTAAATCACCATTCATCATATATCACCCTCCTCAAAGATGGAAAAACTTGCTTTCTGTCTTTTTCCAGAATAATGTATATAAGCCTTTTATCTTCGTGTTTAAAAATCTCTTATGCTTCTCCCTCCTTCCCTTCTTCACAGGACATTATTTTCTTAAACTTGATTTTGGATACCTTCTGCTCTTGTCAAGTTTCTATTGCTCCTAGAACATCCTGGTCACATCCCTACAGTTCATACACTTGGGATACACTTCAACGTGTTATTTGCTGGAAAGTTTTTCTTGCCCTCTTTCCAAGATACTCTTCCTTTGTGCTGATAGCTCCTAGCTGTTGTCCATGATGTCTTGTTCACTGCTGCAGCCTATGCCAGTGCCTGGCAGACTGCTCACACCTCCATGGTCTAGCTTGTTTTTATTAGTCAGTATGGCTGTGTTACTCTCATAGCAAATCTATAGTTGGGATAAGTCATCCCATCTTAATTTTGTATCTATTGTTATATGTAAAGGTGACTTCTCTGAGCTACCAAGTTGGGCCACTATTTCTCAGACTCAACTGGAAGTATATCATTGTTTTTACCAATAACGTTTTTTTTTCTTTTTGCTATGATTTGTTCTATTTTTCAGCCCTGATAATGTTCCAAAAGATGTGACTTGTGACCTCACTGTAGGATGTGATGGAGCTTATTCAACAGTCAGAAATCACCTCATGAAGAAACCCCGTTTTGATTACAGTCAGAAATACATTCCCCATGGGTACATGGAATTGACTATTCCACCTAAGGATGGGGATGTAAGTCCTTTCCTTTTCCCCATATGGGTATAGGGCATAGTCTAGTGTTTTCAGCAACATATCAGCAACACAGTTTTGAGGGATACCACAAGAACCTTGCCACCAATAATCAACTGAATGTCCTTTAATCATATTGCCCTCACTCCTTACCTTTTGATATTCTCTCTTGAGTGTTCAAGAAAAGAGAGAAGTACTAAACATCCTATTGGAAACCCAGAGGCTGTTTATTACATAATAAGGCCATTTACTTGTGATGTCTTAAAGTAATTTACTCTGGGAGTAAATTTTTCAATATATTGACAATCCAGAATACCTATCAACATGACTGATTCAGGTAATAGTTACCACATAAAATGACTAATAAATTGTTGTAAAGAGATCTTCATTGTGTTTTTCTTATTTCCTGGTTCCTATAGTTAAACCATATATAATTAGAGGCAAGTGAGTAGTACACTAATTTTATGTTGTCATTAGATGTCAGACATCCTTAAGGAAAATTAAAATACTTATTAAAAACAATCAGACTATTTAAAAAAGATTTATTTTATTCTTTTTTTTTTTTTTTGCAAAGTCAGATATACAGAAATGAGGAGAAATGGAGAGTAAGATCTTCTGTCCAATGGTTCATTCCTCAAATGGCCATAATGGTCAGAGTTGACCCAATTCAAAGCCAGGAACCAGGAGCTTCTTCTAGGTCTCCCATGTTTGTGCAGGGTCCCAAGGCTTTTGGCCATCCTCAACTGCTTTCCCAGGCCACAGGCAGAGAGCTGATGGGAAGTGAGGCTGCCAGAATTAGAATTGGAGCCAATATGGGATCCTGTTTCAAGGCGAGAACTTTAGTCATTGTGTTGTCGCACTGGGCCCACAATCAGAATTTTTAAACTTCACATATTTTAAGATATGTAATAATCCTGGGAATCTCCAGGGTTTTTCATCAATTGGGTCTTTGGATAAATTGATCAACCCAAGCGTCAAACTCTCACTGAGGGCACTGAGGAGGAGTCACTAAAGCAAGCAGACTCATCTATTCCTAGTGTTACGATAGCAAACAAGTCATAAGAAGTTTGTCATCATGTTTTGTTTGGCTCATGAAATTTAAACTGAAACTTAAGATTTTACTGTTTAATATAGATATCTTTTCAAAGGCAAAAAGCTAGATAAATAACATTGGATGTACATATACACTTATACACATACACACATATACACGTGCACAAACACACATCAAATATTATATATATATATTCTACCATGTTTGTATGTATAAACATGTATATCTGTATGTGTGTGTAAAAGAGAACAAACATCTTATTGCAGCACATCGTCAGAGTGTGACTTATCTTGGCATCAAAAACCAGCTTAACGTGAAATTTATGAACACAGAACATAAAGTATTTTCTAAGATTTGCTGTGTATGTAGCAATAAACATACATATCATCATATATACATTTATATGACCCTGGCTTAGATTATGTGGAAATGGTTATACAGTAATTCAGTTTTATAGATGTTATTTGATGCACTAACCAAACATGCATGATTTTTTTTTTTTGCAGTATGCAATGGAACCCAATTATCTGCATATTTGGCCTAGAAATACCTTCATGATGATTGCACTTCCCAACATGGTAGTATAAGACTTCTTATTCACAGTAATATTGCATCTGTAAACAATGGTTTCCATTTCTCACTTTTGTACCTAGTATGTGCATGCCTAATTGGTCTGCTCACTTCTAAATCATTGAAAATTCTGAGGAAAAATATTGCAGAATGCACTATTAGTTACTTTAAAAAAAAAGGAGATGGATTTTTTCTGAATGAATAATGGGAGTTTATGTGTGGTGATGTCACTCAGTTCTAGTGAAGATGGCACTGGAAGGGGTGTCCCTCTCCTACCACCAAGAAAGCCAAATATACTCGGACCACATACTGGGGAGTCAGATCAGCACTTAGGAATTGTGGGGCATCGGAATATACACTACCAAAGACAGGCACAGCTTTTGTTTACCTATCGGGGGGTTTCTTCCACAAACTTTTAGTTATTTGTCTTGTTGGCTTTTTGTCTTTCTGTTGCTCTATGTTATGTAAGAAGGTCATTGTTTACTTGGTGAAAATGGAGAATCTACAGTGTAGAAATTTCTCTAAAAATCGAGAGAGCAGTGGATTACCCGCGGGTCTTGGCAGAGCTTTTCTTTGAGAGGGAAGGGACAAAGCCAGCTTGCCTTTCCTGTCTGAGTTTTCCTTCCAGCAAAAGTGCCTGCGACTGAGACATGTACTTTTAACGTTGGCATTGCTTGCCTCTCTATTCTCTCACACTGTCCCTCTTGTCACAGAACAAATCTTTCACGTGCACTTTGTTCATGCCCTTTGAAGACTTTGAAAAGCTTCTCACCGGCACTGATGTGCTTGACTTCTTCCAGAAGCACTTTCCAGATTCCATCCCTCTAATTGGAGAGTAAGTTTCAAGACGTTCATTTGCGCCTTTTGTTTTATGGGCCTGTGATACTCCCAATTCAAATAGAGTACATACGTTATTCTGGTTTATTTAAGAACTACAGATATGCCAAAGTTGACATTAAAGCTCACTCCGAGGTGACGGTACCCTGGAGCAAAACTGTAAGTGGATGTTGTGCTGTGAGCAGGAAATCTGGAAAACAAAAGAGAACAAAGCATGGCACAGTAGAACAAGCCACAATGTCCCCGGGCTTTTATGAATTTCGTGCCATCGTCTCAGGATCCAGGATTTGGCATCATGTCACAGGGCCTGGCTGTGTTTCCTTCTGCTGACAGACACACGAATCTTTGGCATGGATGGCACATCCAGCAATCTCATAAGCTTTCTTGTGCCTCCGACCCCTCATGGTAAAATGCCGATAACCCTATCTGAAAAGGTCACTGAAGTTAAAATGAGACACACTTATTAATCACTCAGCACCAGGCCCAGTACACACTAAGGTCCAAGTGACAGATAACTGATTGTGCCAGTTACCTGGCTCATCTCTATTTCTCTGGCCCGGGTCAGAACCACCCTCCAATGAACTTGGTCCATTTATTCTGATTTGGGGTCTTTTCACTGTCTTCCCATGGCAGAAGCGCTGTGAGTCTTCTCCAGGGTTCCCTCGAGGAGTACTAAGCCATTCCTGAGGGTCCACTCTGAGGACCTTTTGGTTCCAGGTAACCTCACCTGTTAATACCATCACCTTGACGAACAAGAGATGCTCACACATGCGCTTGAGGGGATGTAAGCACTTGCTCTATAGCGCTGTTTCTGGCTCACTCTTTCCTAAATCTTAAATTTGATATTCTTAAATGGATATCAAAATACATCCCTTTGAAGACAGTTGTGTGAGTTCAGTAAACTAAGTATGTAAACTGGAAATCCACTGCTAGCCTGTAACACGTCTTTTGAAAAATTGCTAGCCCATATTTTCCTGCATGTTACAAAAGAAATTTACAAATTTTCAGACATAGATAAACTTGTTCTGTTTGGGTGTGAATAACACTGTTATGAACCAAGAAAGTAATTAGCACAATGGAATTTAAGAACTGGAAGAAGACTGTATTTTCCTTTTTCATGTCTTTTTTTCCTGGCATTCTTGGGTATTTAAAAATAAGGCTATTGTGATGATGTCAAGTAAATCTGAAAGCGCTGAGCAGCACCTGCTATCTGATGTAGTAGTTTCACATTCTGATTTTTTTTCCTCCAAAGGCAAGCCTTAGCGCAAGATTACTTCCTACTGCCTGCTCAGCCCATGATATCTGTAAAGTGCTCCTCTTTTCATTTTAAATCTCACTGTGTGCTGATGGGAGATGCAGCCCATGCCATTGTGCCATTTTTTGGGCAAGGAATGAATGCGGTGAGTTCTTTTTCCCTAGGTAAGTTACTGATATGTTTCCAGGTCTATCTTAACTAATGTGTATTAAAGAAGCAATATGTGAAAGACTTTGTCCAAATACACCTGAAGAGTATGATAAATTAAAAAGCCATTCCAGATGTTAAACTAGATTGATCATCAACTCTAGTCAAAAATTTGAATTACTTAACCAGTAATTTAAAATACAAGGAGGATAGGGAATATTGTAATATTATGTTTAGATTGAAAATGCCATCAGTAGCTTGAAATTTAGACACTTGGGTAGCAATGTTTCTAGTCTTCATCTTTAAAATGTATTTTTCTGAACATTACACATAAACTTATTTTTTAGATTTATTCATCTATTTAAAAGGCAGAATTACAGAGAAAGAGAGTAAAAAAGATCTTCTATCAACTGGTTCATTCTCTAAATGCTCTTACCAGCTGGAGCTGGGCCTAGCTGGGCTGAAAGGAGAAGCCAGGATCTTACTCTGGGTCTCCCACCCTGCTGCAGGGGCCCAAGGAGTGGGCTGTCTTCAGCTGCTTTCCCAGACACATTAGCAGGGAGCTAGATCAGAAGTGGGACTTGAACCAGCACCTAATTGGGATGCTGGTGCTTCAGGTGGCAGATTTACCTGCTGTGTTACAGTGCAGGCCTGGCACAAATTTATAATGTTAGCATCAAATAAGATTCCCAGATTATTTCTATTCTCCAATTTTCTTTCTAAAGGAAAGGGAAATATGATAAGGTTAAATAAAACTGTCAACAGATCAGTTATTGAATACAATGGCTTTCATGAAAAATTTACTAGTCAAGGAATAGCATTCAAACATTGAACATTAATTTAAAGATATCCTAGGGGTCAGCGTGGTGGCTCAACTAGCTAAATCCTCTGCCTTGAGGTGCTGGCAAATTAGGTGGGTGCTGGTTCACGTTTCTGCTGGTCCATTTCCCATCCGGATCCCTGTCTGTAGCCTGGGAGGACAGTAGAGGATGGCCCAAGTCCTTGGGACCCTGCACCCTCCTCAAAGACCCAGAAGAAGCTGCTGGCTCTGGCCATTTTGGTCTTTGAGAGAGTGAACTGGTGGATGGAAGATCTTTCTGTCTCTCCTCTATAGATCTGCTTTTCCAATGAAAATAAGGATTTTTTTTAAATAAAGGAATCCTAAATTGTCTTTGTGTTTCTGTATATGTAAATGCTAACTAATAGCTTTAGAATCATTTGGTCATATGCTATGTTGGCCATTGCAATATATAGCAAGTAAAGCTAGCTAGTGAGTCTAATTAGTTATGTTTTCCACAAAGAAGTGGTAAATATTTTTGTACATAAAAGCATTAGACGACATCAACTGTGGTATAGAGGACAGCTGCTCAGGGTCTAGCATTAGAACCTTTGGGTTCAAATTCTTGTTCCAGGAGTTAATAGTCAGTACAATATTGTACATCTTATTTACCCTACCTTTACTTCTTTATCTATAAAACTGAAATTTTTAATACTTACCTACCTCAGAGATCTATGGCAAACAAGTGAATTAATTTAAATGAATAATTTAAAACTTATCTCAATCCCATATGGTAACTGTTGTTTTTAAATTTTTATAAAATTGAAGATCTGTGTAATTTACTTGCTTCAAATATAAATAATGAGAAAAATGCTTTTTCATAGTTTATATTTTCTATAAACATAGTTTGAATTTCTATACAATAAGAAATTATTTCTCACTATATTTTGCATAGAACCTACCTTGCTTAGTGGAGTTTATTGTTTGCATATTTGCTTTAATCTTGAGATGAGGAATGTAGACTAATTTGGGGAGTAGCTTTATGCTGTGATTAAATTGCTCTGAATGTGAATCTTACAGATCTGAGTATTTTAAATATAATTCTAACGTCAGGTAGAACAATATAATTACTCATTATTCTCAATAAAACCATGACATACAACAAAATCATAATAAAAGAGGTATTTTGGTAAAATCCTTAGCCACTGTTTCTATACATGCAGTGGGCAAAGCCAGCACCATCAAGTCATGCAGTGGATGGTCTTTGTGATCACAGTTCAATACCACATGACAACTGCTATTGTGCACTGATGATAAACAGCTTCTGAACTACACTCATGAATGAAGATCTTTCAAAATTGCTAAGATTTTGTTTTTGGTTTATTCCCTCCCTCCCCCATCCCCGACCCTTTTTAATTTCAGGGCTTTGAAGACTGCTTGGTATTTGATGAGTTAATGGAAAAGTTCAATAACGATCTTAGTAAGTAAAAATTTTCAGTTGTACCCAGACTGGCCTTGCTGAAAATTCTAGGCCAGTGTCTGATCCTCAGTTCAAAAGCTCACAAAGCCTATTCCCTGTTCAGGATTACTTACTTTTCTATTAAAAACCTATGCTTTGCTTACTTCCCACATCTGACAATGAGTAACTAGTAAGGAAAATAGAGCTCCTTTTTTAAGGTCTGCGCATGGAGCTCCCATACAGTGACCCACTCAAGGATGACAATTCAGAACACCAAATGGTGGCTAAGAGACCCTCCTTTTGCTTTTGAGCTTAGACAATACCCCCTCCCTGCAACCTCTACCACATACCTGTAGAAACACTCTTAGAAGTCCTAGTACTTTCTTGCTGTTTTCCTACCAACAGTTGTATCTGATACCTCCACTTGGCTTTTGATTAGATTTAACTCAGACAGTTTATCGATTTTTGCAAATACTGAAGTGTTAAGATTATACATTAAATTTTGTAATGAAATCAAATATGTACATCTGTGTTAAAGCTGTTCCTTGGTATTTGAGTGTGATTAGTTCCAAGGCCCCCACAGAAAACAAACTAATCTACATGGAATATCTTCATATAAAGCTTATTTCATATACTTTAAATCATATCTCGATTGCTTATGATACTTCATATGGTGCAAATGTATGAATTGTGACACATATTGTTTAGAGACAATGACAAAGAAATAATGGCTGTGTATTTTCAGCACAGATGCTATTTCTTTTTTGTGTTTTTTTCTATCCATAGTCAGTTGAACCCATGCTTGCAGATCCCAGAGACATGAAGATTGACTATGTGTACAATTGCAAATAATAGCCTAAGAATCGGGTAACTTTTTCTTGACTCACAGTAACACTGCACGTGTTCTCAAAGGTTACTTCTAAGTTTAAACCTGTTTTAAGTAAGAGACAGACTGAAGAACTGACCATCCACTAATGCTAAGAATCAGGTCCCGGCTTGTCTTCTTATTAGCTGTGCGATTTTGAGCAAGTCAGATCATCTTTCTAAAACTTCAGCTATTTTTCACCTACAAAATAGGGATTATAAAATCAATGTGAGAGAGTTTTAAAGATTAGATGAAATAATTTATGTGAAGACATTAAAAGGAAACAAAAAGCCTGGCATAAACGAAGTTCAAGGTACATGTATGCTTTGGTGTTCGATAGTGGATGCTGGTGAGTGGATCTTAAGAGAGTATAGTGGCTCACAGCAAATTTCTCATCCTCCACTTTCTTTTTCTTTTTTAATTTCTTTCCTTTCATGTATCACATAGAGGTTCAGGATTCAGAGGTATTCTGCTTCTTCCCTTCTTGGGCTAACTATAATAAGGGTGGTGGAAGGATTCATGTATGTCAACACACTCTCAACATCAGTTTCAGGTATTAGAAAACAAAGACAAAACTATAATAATCATAGTAACATACTGAATATTTAATAAGTGTTAGTATCTTACTTTAAAAATGTGTTGTCTCATTTGGTCCTACCAAAAAAAAAATGAGACATAGATACCATCCTATTATCATTTTAAAACTGAAGAATTCAAGCTAGGAAATGGTTAACTTACCCAAGATCATGTATCTAGGAAGTGAAGAAACTAGAACTTGAACCCATGATTTTTGACTTTAGAAATGGCATCTCATTATAACTAATGATTGTGTGAAAACAATACCAGTTGGTCATTTGTCACGTATAAGTATTTACTACTGACCAGGTTATGATTCCAATCATTATTCAAACATGAAACTGACTCGTAGGAGCTCACAGCAAAATAGAGGAGCTGATGTTTAAGAGAATATTTTTTTTTAGGTTCAGTGAGACAAATGTGCAGGAATGGGGTCCCAAAGGAGCATAGGAAAGAGAACAGCAGAGTCCAAAAGGGGCTATTGGTCACTGACCATCACTGATAACAACTGTTCTCCATTTGGGAATGACAAAAAACAATTATTGTATCCAATGGTCTATTAACCTTAACATTTAATCACAACACACAGAAAGTGCTGGTGTGTTGCTCAGGAGTCAGAGGTTGTTGATAATACAGAATGAATATCCATAGTTTTAGAGATCAGAGAGAACATTGGTTTTGAATAGACCATGTAGCTTGAACTCTGTATATCCCAGTACATTTCTACACAATTCTTGGAACAATGTATCATTTAACTTGGTTTCTAGACATCTGTCTTCCCGAATTCTCAAGATTTAGAATTCCAGACGACCATGCCATTTCAGACCTATCCATGTATAACTACATAGAGGTGAGTGAGAAGATTCAGCTCTATCCCATGCAGTCGTTGGTGGACATCTTGCAAATGTTACTTTTTGTTTTTGTTTGCTCTAGCCCTGTCTCACGCATGCATGCTGCTTAAAAATAGATACAGATAAGAAAACACACACAAATACAGCATGACGTAGACGTGGATGGAATGTGAATAAGTAGCCAGTAATAATGACCAATACATAACATCTCTATCGATACTTTAGGAACATTTTAAACTAATGGAGATGACAAAATCACTAATAATTCACAGGATTAAATGGTGAATATTTAGTAAATTTAGTAATATGCTGTCTTAAAAGATGTACTAGGATGTTTATAAATATAATATATAGTTAGTAGATGTGTTAACATAGTCAAGAAATCTAAGAAATGTTCAATGACCCTTCCATTCTTAACATTATAGTATTACAAATTTAGCAAAGTACTGAATGTCCTTTGGAGATCTATGCAGGGAAAAAAAGTAGAATATCAAAGAAAGATACTTTGAAAGTACTTTGAAAATTACATTCATTCTGTTTTTACTTAGTCATGAAAATATCATGATAGTAGTTATAACTATAGTTTTTAACAACCAGACAAAAAACTCACAAGATAAATTTAAGGAAGAGAGTGACAAAATATTTTCCATCTCTTGTGAAGACATAAAGAAATAGAATAACATCGGAGTGAGCAGAATTATCTATGTGATAAAGCAAGTTCTAGAAGACACTTGGAATACTTAAATGTTATATCTGGCCTAAGTATTTAAAATATATATTACGTGTCCCAAATAATTAGCAGGTCAAAACAGTCATCGCTTCAAACAATCCCTGTTGCCATAAGCAATATTGCAAACTAACCAATACACAACAGCAATTGGCCAAACCTGTGGGCTCACAGTCGACTCATAGATGGGGCTGAATAAACACTTTGCTGAAATACAGTCCCTATGATGACCCCTGAATAAAACAGAGTTCCCTCACAGGTTTTGCATAACTGCTATAGGTTGTCGCCTGTTTTATTGATATTTCTTAAAAATTATTGGGAATGATCCTTATGGAAATAAGCATTAAGCCTTGAATCTAATGATAAGTGGGAATTGAGTGTATTCATAAATTGTGGAAAGGAACCAGAGGTACATATGCTTTGTTCAAGCTATTCTCTTAAAAGTTCTCTTACACTGTTGCAGATGAGAGCACATGTCAACTCCAGGTGGTTCCTTTTTCAAAAGAACATAGAGAGATTTCTTCATGATATTATGCCATCCACTTTTATTCCTCTCTATACCATGGTAAGGCCTGGATTTAAGACTCCCCCATTGGAATTCTTTGTTCAGCCATTAAACAATGCACAAAAATACCTTTTAAACTTCCCTACAGGTCACTTTTTCCAGAATAAGATATCATGAGGCAGTGCTGCGCTGGCATTGGCAAAAAAAGGTTGGAACAGATTATTCTTTCTATATAAGAAACGACTTATTTTTGTTTGAATATCAGAGTTGCAGATAGGAGAGATAGAGACAGATATCTATCAGCTGATTCACTCCTCAAATGGTGAAATAGCCAGAGCCGGGTCAATCTGAAGCCAGGATGCAGAAGCTCCTTCTGGGTCTCCCAATGGGTTCAGGGTCCCGAGGCATCGCACCACACCACAGCTTCCCAGACGTTATGCATGGAGCTTGATAGGAAGTGAAAAAGCCAGGAAGTGAAGCAGCATGTAGAACATGAACCAGCACCCACGTGGAATACCAGTACTCCAGGCAGAGGACTAACTTGCTGCTGGCCCCAGAACAGATAATACTTTTTAAAAAAAAAGTGTACTGAAGTATTGCAGTGTTTAGGTTATCTTTATTTCTTTATTTCAAGTAAATACAGAAAAGATGTCGAATCCAAATTTTATGCTCTAAGGACAAAGTGTCCTGAGTACACAAAGGGCATATTAAATAACAAAGCTAAGAAAGAGAGCTTTTTAAGGGAAGAAATAGAAAAATAAACTGATGCTAGTACTTCTCCACCTTTTACTTAAACTCTGAGGCCATTCTAGATGTTTGATTTGTGCAATGTTCTAACAAAAGCAGAGAGAACCAAGTTCCCTATGAATCATTATACAATTCCAGCATAAGGCTGCAACACATTCATTTTGGGTAATTGGCTCCAAAGATATTACGAAGTGGAATTCAGATTATTGACCTTCCACTTTAGGAATACTACAAATTCATCCATTCAAGAAATAGTTTTACTTAAAGTGGCGACATTGAGCATATGAAACAGACACAGAGCCTATTCATCCTTAGAGGCTGTTGAAGAGACAGAAAACTACAGTGGGCAGGGATAAACTTACTAAGGGAGTAAAGGGGTGGGCTGGCCCAGGAGAAAGCTAAGGAACCAAAAAGAGCATGGCCAGTGGAAGAAGGCGAGAAGGGCAAGCTCCAAGGTATTGCAGGAGTGTGAGAACAGTCATAGGCAAACAGGGAGAAATAGTCACAAGCAAAAGGGTCTTTAATATTGTCTAGAGATAAGCAAGGAGAGCAGGAAAGCAGGGTAATAATCTCATTTGAATCTGAGAAAGAATATTTCACTGTTAGGAAGTTAGAATGAAAGATATAAATGGTGATGTCAGAAATAGAGCGTTATGAACAGGTTAAAGAACAAAAAGAAAAATGTATACACCTTTATAGTTTGAGAGTTCTGTTTCCGGATAGTAATGTCTGAACAGAGTCCTTGCTGTCCCACAGGTGATAAACAGGGGACTCTGTTTCTTTGGATCACTGATAGCCATTGGTAGCTATTACCTATTTATGCACTACATGTCACTGAGACCACTGGACCACTTGAGAAGACCAGGGGACTGGATCGCTTACATCCGAAACACAGGGCGTGTTTGGCTGCCATTTCTACAAGGCCACTAGAACAAATTACATTTAATTACTAGTTGCTATAAATATTCTGAAATAGGACTGATTTCTCTGTGATGAAACTAAGGATCAAAATGTGTCTCCCCTACCCCTTTGTATTTAATTCATTATGGGAAGATAATTGTGAACCTATGATTAAATTAAAATGTACAGTTTCTTTGTGTTGATTGCAATTATTGGTGGGGGGCAGGGAGACACTTCTTAAAAAAACTAACATACAGCTTCCTCACCACATCTGCATATTCAGGTTGGTTCATTCTAAAAATAGAAGTGCCGTGACTAAGACTGCACTTCTCACATAGGCAAGGCCTGCAGGGAAGACACCCAAAATCTTTTTTCTTCAAAGGACATGATAGGACTTACAATAAGCTTTATTCACTGCCTGGGACTCAAAAATCAGAATTTGCCTAAAATGTTAACTACTTTTTCTCACCTGACTGAAACTCATCCAACCACAAGGCTCTGACTCACGTGACAAAACCAGAAAAGCAAATGATAAAGTTAGAGATCTTCTTGAAGAATAAACTGATGACTTACAGAATAAACTATTTCCCAGCCTACAAATGCCAATAATAACTGTGAAGGTAAGAAAAGGGCTATTAATCAAGATGGCAGAATAGGGTAAGGACACGTTCAAACGGACTGAAAAACATTTAATCAGGATGAAGCTGAGAGGACACGTTCCAGGAAATAGGAGAGGACAGAACAACAGCAGGGAGGTACCTGGAGACTGACAGACACGGGAAAGCAGCAAAAACAATGGTGTGGTGCTGCAGTGACTGATAATGCAGTGGCATTCAGCTAACGGTGATCTGAACTCCACCAGCAGCCAGAACTCCATCAGCAACCAGGTGGGAAGGGCTTTCACTGGGAGCTTAGGAGGTGAACCCAGACAAAGAATTGTCAGTCCTGCTGGTCTGTTTGATTTGACTAGGAGCAGAAACAGCAGCAGATCCCAGACGGGCAGTGCGGGAACAGGGTGGATTTCACAGCCCAATCTGCCTTCTAGAGCCAAATTAGGTGCCATTTTGTTTATGAAGACAAGGACTATGAGCACGACTGCACATGCACTGAGCTGGAAGTGAACTCATTTTTGACTCAGTGAACTGCATCAACGCAGCATTCTAAAGGTTTCACCCAAGACAGGTCTGGGTAGCTCTCAGACCTGATGGCCAACAGATCAAGAACTCTAGTAGAGGCACGTCAGAAGCCATTTTGTACATTGTGGCAAAAGTTTAGGACTACAGGGGACAACAGTGAACTGTGCATGTGCTGAGCTTACAAGAACTCACCGAGTTCCATGGATTGCACTGATCCCACAGGAAAATAATACCAACTGTGGCATCATATGAATCAAATATGTCTGAGTGGCACCCAGACCTATCATCCAGCAGGTTCCGGTAAGATCAGCACCACCAACAACCTAGCTATATAGGACACCTGGTTTCTCCCTAATTGTGGGACCAGAAGTGGGAGAAAGTTTGAAGAGACAACTGTATAGCCTCAGCACGATATCACAGGAGGTGGACACTGGTGAGTCAGGAGCTGGGGCTGTGGAGACCATGGTGGAAATCTAACGTAAAAACCCAGACCTGGAACCTGCTGCTGGGAGTGGCACAATTGACTGCAAGCAAAGAGTTGGGTACCAAAGGCAATAAGTAAAATCACATTGTAGACCTGTGGGTGACACAGCTGAGAAACCTGCCCCAAGGAGAAGACTCTGCTAACCAGAAGTACAATGACCAAAAGCAAAAGAGGACACAAAGACAAAATGAATATTACTGAAGACGCCCTTGCAAAGGAGCAAAACCCTATGCCAACCCAAGTGTTCACCGAGGAAGACATCGAGAAAATGGGGGATACAGAATTCAGAAAACTCATTTTAAAGCTTCTGATCAACAATGAGAAACACATACAAGAATTCAAAGAATTAAGGAATATGTTACCCAAGAAATAGCAGCAATAAAGCAAATCAAGGATGATATATCAGAAATTAAGAACACAAGTAGAACAAATTAAAAGTACAGTGGAGAGTCTCCAAAATAGAATGAAGCAAGCAGTAGAAAGAATCTCAGAATTGGAAGATATTTCTTGTCACCAGGGGAAAGCAAACAAAGAGTGGAAGCACAGCTAGATCAGGCCAAAAAACAAAAAGTATTCAAGAATTCCAAGACACTATTAAGAGGCCAAATATAAGAGCTATGGGAGTCCCAGATGGTGCAGAAAGAGAAACTGAGTTTACAAATCTATTTAATGAAATAATAAGGGAAAATTTCCCAATCTAGAGAAAGAATTGGGAAACAAAATCCAGGAGAGGCATAGAACTCCCAACAAGCTTGATCAAAAGCGATCTTCACCAAGACACATGATCATCAAGCTCTCTTCAATCGAACATAAGAAAAAGATCCTTAAATGTGCACGTGAAAAAATTCAATTGACATATAAAGGAATGCCAATGAAACTCACAGGAGACCTCTAACAAGAAACTCTACAGCCAAGAAGAGAATGGAGTGACATATTCTATATTGTAAATGCAAAAATTTGTCAGTTTAGGATTACATATCCAGCAAAGCTTTCTTTTGTCTTTGAAAATGAAATAAAATTCTTCCACAGTAAAGAAAAGTTAAAAGAATTTGCCTCTTCCAAAGCTGCCCTGCAAATGATGCTTCAAGATGTTCTCTTGACAGAGAAGAGGACTACCCAACAAAACCAAAGGCAAACGTGAAGAATATCCCAGTAAAATGACAACAGAAGACTAAACCAATGAACAACCTATTCCCAAAATGACAGGACCAAATTACCACCCATAGATATTAACTCTGAAAGTAATTGGCTTAAGCTCAATCAAATATCATAGTTTAGTAGACTGGATTAAAAAACAAAACCCATCTATTTGTTGTCTAGAAGAGATGCATTTTACCAACAAAAATCAGCAGAAGCTATATCTCATGTTGTTTTGATAGTTTCATCTCTTCAAAACAGTTTCTTCTCATTAAATTCTTCAATGACTCATAGATCATACAGTACCACCATTTTCTACATGAAGGTTCTTCATTTTCTTTTTCATTTCTTCAGCGACACATTAATCATTCAGTAGCATGTTATTTATGTTATTCATGGTGTTGTTAATTTCTTTTTTTCTCCTGATGTTGATTTTGTGTTGTGTCTTTTCATTTAAGGGGATGTGTAGTAGCTTATAATGCAGACTGTCATATCTAGTAACATATTAGTCAACTTCATGGCATTGTAAATTTCTATTTTTATTCCTATTGTTGATTTTGCATTGTGACTTTTCATTTAAGGGAATGTATAGTAACTGTGAAATGGAGACTAACATGTCCAGATGTGAGGATACAATGTAGTATGCATTTCTACTTCCAGATAAAAATGGACTTACAACGAAACTGTTTACTATATCTTGACAATAGGATGCTGGACTCTCTGCCACTGTCCATGCCCGTAATGATGGACATATGACTGTGTATGAAGAACTTAACTTTAGTAATGATGTAGAGGAACTAGGTGGGGGTTGCAAAATGGGTAGGGAATAAGGGAAATCCAATGAGCCTATGGAACAGTATCATAAAATGATAATGATAATAATAATAAATAACTAAAGATTAAAAAAGAAAAGAGATATTAATGCCATACTAAGTAAAGGACAGGGAAGATTTTATTAATGAATTAAATACATATAGAAGGGTACTTTAAAAGGTCCTTGAAAAATGTAACATTTACTTTGGGAAAAAAAAACAAACCCTAATCACGCATGGGGAAGGTAATCAAAATGTTCATGGAAAGTACTTATGAAAAAGCATGGTACGAATTCCAAATTTTTTTTTTGCATAAAAGTAAGGTTTTCTTTAAATTTCACTTTTCCACAAACACTTTGAAGTACCCTCATACAAAATAGTGGAAGGAAACAAGGACAGTTTTGGTAGGAATATTAAGCCATAGTTTCTTCCTATTCAGACCCTCAGAAGTAATTTGTTTTCTTATTCATGAACTACATACTAAGGCTGAACCAGAATTGAACTTGATTTCAAGTATACTGAGTAAAAGTGTTTTCTTTGGTTGTCCTGTCTTATAGAGAACAGGAGTCCTTCAGTGTGAATAATGATGAAGAAGCCACACTATGGACACTATTACCCAATATAAGAGTTATATAATGAAATGGAAATTTTCAGCATTTTTCTACAATGTTACATTTAATCTACAGGGTAGAAAAGAGTAATTTTTCCTTTTATCCATCTTACGTTCATTGGCTGGATCCCTATGACAAAAGGCAACAAAAGGAAACCAAACACACAAAAGGTTTATTCACATGTATTTTTCATATGTACATGGTAGGCACCCAGGGAATGGGTAAATCTCAAAGAGCTGGCATAGATCTTCACCAAGAATAAGTAAAATGGGATTTGAACCTCTAATGATGGCAAACTGTGAGATGGAAAGTAAATGGGAGTTAATGCAGATTTCTCTGGTTCTGTCTCCAGGCAGAGAAGTCTCTGGTGACCAGCCTTGCTGTTTCCAGTAGAATGGGGAGACAGATGACAGATTTTTAACTATCTGACCTTTCAGGCAAAGTTTAAGAGAGTAGGGACCCTTTTCTGAGCTTCTTCTCAACTGTAGTCATATGAAAATAATCCTTTTGCAGAAGGAACACATATGGTGGTAACATATTATGGTTGCCTCTCCACCAACACTGGTCATAACTTATTTAGTGGACTAACTGATGACCACCAAAATTATATTCCATGAATACACTTCTACACTTTAGTTCCTTGTTTGCCTGGAAATCTTTTCCTAAATCCATTACTCTGGAAAACTAGTTGAAGGCAGGATAAGCCTTCCATGTTCATGGTCCAAATAGATGGAGAAAGCAGCTGTCATCAACGTCATCTTCACCATGTAATCTTCTATAATTGTACAATGAGCTGTGCACCAACATTATCTTGAAATTCCTCAACCTGTTTTCTTTGCATTGCTGGTTATTAATATCACCAAGGACATCCTCCATAGTACATTATTGTGAGACTCCTCTTATACTTGCATTCTAGAATTAGCTCCATAAATACGATTTTGTCAAACATAACAACACTGAAAAGGACCCAACTGTACAGAAAATTCAAGATTTTCTAATTATTTCACA